CCTCCGTAGTAATAGGGGTTGTCCGAGTTCTGGAACCGGTAGTAGGGGGCCTGGGCCTGGCGGGGCTCCCCTCGAGGCACGGGGGCCCCCTCGTCGTCCGTGTCCAAGAAGTGCAGCTGGGTCCCCGGGCTCTTCAGCGCCGGCTTCTGCTCCGGGTTGTTGGGGTCCCAGAGCCGACGGGACGTGCCCCCCCGGCTCCAGCCCCGAGGGCCTTTGCTGCTGCCAAAAAGGAGCCGGGCGCCCCCTCCGTGGGGAGTTTCGGGGGACCCTGTGCCGCTGGGGGTCAGGTCCGTGTTGGCCGGCAGCACCAGGATCCCTCGGCCCCGGTTCTGGGGCTTCCCCTCCCCGGCCTCTGCGGGGTCCCTGGGGGTGGCCCCGGAGGGCTTGCCGCCCTTTCGCCAGTCGGGCTGGGAGGCTGCAGAGCCCCTGCCGGCCGGCCAGGGGCCCCCCTGGGATGCTCTGGCCTCCTGGCCGCGGGCGAGCCGGCTGTGCTCGGGGGCCCTCCTGGCCTCGGGGCCCTCCTCGGCCCTGTCCTCTTCCAGGGAGTCGGTGGAGGAGGCGGAGAGCTGCTTCTGTGGGCGGGGCCTTTCCGGGGGCTTCCTCCCCACTTCTGCCTCCCCACGGGCCCCCTCGGTGCTGTTGTTGCTGCCAGCCGAGCTGGTGCTGCAGGTGCGGTAGCGGCTGCGACGCTTGTCCGAGCGCGAGTACCGCTTGGGGGGGCTGCCCTTGCCGTGACCCGGCTCGTCTCGGGCCTTCCGGGGCCGCTCGGCCCGCCTGCCCTTCTCCCCCCGGAAAGGCCTGGCCCCTTCCTGGTTGGGCCCTCCTTCTGGGCCCCCTGGCTTCCCGGGGCCCTGGCCAGCCCTCCCGGCGTCCTTCTCGCCGTCTGCTCCCCTCTCCTCCTTCGGGGGGAGCTCCTCGTCTGCCAGGGGGGCAGCCCCCGCCTCCCGGGGCGAGGCCTGCAGGCGTTTGCCAGGCTGGTAGATCTGCTGGTCGGGCTTCTTGGCTCGCCTGACGATGCGAGGGCACCAGTCCTGCGGGGGCCCCCCGGGGCCCTGGGGAGGACCTTCCAGGAAGCCGTTGGGGGGCTGGGCCTTGTCCTCAGGGGGGGCCTGGGGGAGCGGGGTGTCCTCCCTGCAGGGAGCTGCCGCGGGCTTCCCGGGGCCCAGGCCCTCCTCCGTGGCTTCTTCCTCTCTCGGGAGCTCCTGCTTGGCCGGGCCAGGCTTGCCCCTCAAGCGGGAGAGGCCCGGCTTGTAAATCTCGAGATCCGGACGCCGGTTGTCCTTACGATGCCGGGGCTCCTTCATGGTCTCTGCAAGAAAGGAAGCACAAGAGAACCGTCAGCCCCATAGCTGGTGGGGGGGTAAGCTAGTGGGGGGCTCACCAGGCATGGTGGGGCAGCAGACCAACTTATGTAACTGAACTGGGGGTGACATCTCTGTCGTTAAGCAAAGCTGTCACTCAGTGGGAAGCCATTTCTTTTCCCCCATCCCCTCTCCCTAGCCCAGGGGTGGGCAACCTTGGCTCTTTTATGACTCGTGGACTTCAATTCCTCAGCCAGCATGGAGGAACTATGGCCCCCCTCATGATTCATGGACTTCAACTCCCAGAATTCCTCAGTCAGCATGGGGGAACTATGGCCCCCCTCATGACTCGTGGACTTCAGCTCCCAGAATTCCTGAGCCAGCATGGGGGAACTATGGTCTCCTTCATGACTTCTGGACTTCAGCTCCCAGAATTCCTGAGCCAGCATGGCTCAGCTTGGAAACCTCTCCCTTTCCCCTCAGCATGGCTGGCTCAGGAATTCTGGGAGCTGAAGTCCAAGAGTCATAAAAGAGCCAAGGTCGCCTACCCCTGCGCAAATGCCTGAATTTTGATCATGTGACCGTGAGGAAAAAATATTTAAATATTTAAACCAGGGGTCTTCAAACTTGGCCCTTTTATGACTTGTGGACTTCAACTCCCAGAATTCCTGAGCCAGCATGGGGGAACTATGGCCCCCTCATGATTCATGGACTTCAACTCCCAGAATTCCTCAGCCAGCATGGGGGAACTATGGCCCCCCTCATGACTGGTGGACTTCAACTCCCAGAATTCCTGAGCCAGCATGGCTCAGCTTGGAAACCTCTCCCTTTCCCCTCAGCATGGCTGGCTCAGGAATTCTGGGAGTTGAAGTCCACGAGTCATAAAAGATCCAAGGTCGCCTACCCCTGCGCAAATGCCTGAATTTTGATCATGTGACCGTGAGGAAAAAATATTTAAATATTTAAACCAGGGGTCTTCAAACTTGGCCCCTTCATGACTCGTGGACTTCAACTCCCAGAATTCCTCAGCCAGCGTGGGGGAACTATGGCCCCTTCATGACTGGTGGACTTCAGCTCCCAGAATTCCTCAGTCAGCATGGGGGAACTATGGCCCCTTCATGACTGGTGGACTTCAACTCCCAGAATTCCTGAGCCAGCATGGGGGAACAATGGCCCCCTTCATGACTCGTGGACTTCAACTCCCAGAATTCCTCAGCCAGCATGGGGGAACTATGGCCCCCCTCATGACTGGTGGACTTCAGCTCCCAGAATTCCTCAGTCAGCATGGGGGAACTATGGCCCCCTTCATGACTCGTGGACTTCAACTCCCAGAATTCCTGAGCCAGCATGGGGGAATTATGGTCCCTTCATGACTGGTGGACTTCAACTCCCAGAATTCCTGAGCCAGCATGGGGGAACTATGGCCCCCTTCATGACTTCCGGACTTCAACTCCCAGAATTCCTGAGCCAGCGTGGGGGAACTATGGCTTCCTTCATGACTCAGGGACTTCAACTCCCAGAATTCCTGAGCCAGCATGGCTCAGCTTGGAAACCTCTCCCTTTCCCCTCAGCATGGCTGGCTCAGGAATTCTGGGAGTTGAAGTCCACCAGTCATAAAAGAGCCAGGGTTGCCTACCCCTGGCCTAGCCGTAGCCACTGGGATAGTTAGCAAGAAGAGAGTTGAAGTTTGCACTTACATTCGCTGGAGAGAAAGGGATCGCAAGAGAGTCAGCAGGCAGAGAGTGGGGAGGGAAAAGGTTTGGTGTGCCACTGCATTCCTTTCTCTGGGTATTCCCCACTGTCTGCCTGCTGACTCTCTTGCGATCCCTTCCTCTCCAATCTCTACACTCTGCAAAGGTGGGAAGAAAGATAAACCACAGGACGGGCACAGGATTGTAAGTGGCGATCTCGTGACTAAGGAACGTTGCAAAGGTCATAAAGGTGAGCAAGGGTCATAAAGTGTTTTTTTCCCAGCACTGTCATAACTTTGAACAGTTGCTGAATGAGGCAGTCAGTAAATGAGGTTTACTTCTAATGGCGTTTGAAAGACTGAAGAGATGACATGGCTTTGTTAATACAAAAAGGTAGGAAAGATGCAGCCATAAAAATTACCTTTTTAAAAAAGTAATAAATGTTTTAAAAGGAAACAACCAACCAGAAAATCAAAGATAAACCAGACATAAAAGTTATGAAGAAATAAAAAGACCACTTTTGCATTTAACTAAACACCTTTTTTGGGGTGTGTGTGTCTGTGGCTGTGTTTCTGAATACAGCTGAAGAAGCTAATAACCAAATCTTTGTGGAGATTCTCAATCATCCAGGTCATAGTTACCCCAAAGGTGCTTTTTCACGAGGCAACTGGACTTTCTTGTTTTTCTTTGAAGACGTTTTGCTTTTCATCCCAGAAGCTTCTTCAGCTCTTCAGCAGAGCTGAATAAAGTCCGGCTGCCTCGTGAAAAAGCATCCTTGGGATGACTAATAACCGGCTGTCATTGCAGATTCTGTATCACCAGGTAGGGCCTGCTGAAAGTCTATCTTTTTTAAAAACAAAACATTTATATATATATCTCCAAAGTTAAAATACAAAATTTGGAAAGGAAAAGAAAGAAAAAAAACAACAAGCAAACAAATATCAAACTGTCATTAAAAATTAAAAAAAACACCACATTTATAAAAAAAATAAGATTTCTTGACAGTTAGAACAATTAACCAGTGGAACAGCCTGCCTCCAGAAGTTATGAATGCTCCAACACTGGAAGTTTTTAAGAAGAGCCTGGACAGCCATTTGTCCGAAATAGTGTAGGGCAGTGGTGGTGAACCTATGGCACGCATGCCAGAGGCGGCACTCAGAGCCCTCTCTGTGGGCACGCACACCATGCGCTGGAGATGGCAACCGTCCCTCTTCAACCAACCAACTGCCTAACTCGCCGAGATCCCACGGATCCATCCCAGCATGGCTGATTTCCCTCCCCCCCCGTCCCATCCCTCCTGGCCTTGCATGCTCTCCTTTTCCCGGGCACGACCCACTGCATCGCCTCCTCAGCTGTCGGATGGACGTCCAGCTCAGAGGCGGCTTCTCTGAAGTGCTGGTGGCGGGCTGTGGAGCCCCAGAGTGCGCCGGTTGAGGGGCCGGCAGGCTGTGGCTGCTGACGGACACTGTCAGCCCCCATGCATTCGCTGGCTTCTGTGTGCGGGGGCTGATGGTGTCAGGCAGCAGCCACCCCTCCCGTCTCGCCTTGCTCTGCGACAATGGCATCCCCAGCCTGCCTTGCCTTGCCTCACCCCGCAGGACGAGCCTCCTGCCCAGTGCCCCACCTGCCAGAGACCCCCTGGATCTCCCTCAATCTTGCCCGGCCCCCACAGGTGTCCCTCCCCACGAGCAACATCGAGGTGACCATGCCCACCTTGGCATGACCACAGCCACGCCCACCCAGTGGGCCACGCCCACCTGGCACCCGGAGATAAATAAGTGGGTTTTGGGTTGCAGTTTGGGCACTGGGTCTCTAAAAGGTTCGCCATCACTGGTGTAGGGTTTCCTGTCTGAGCAGGGGGTTGGACTAGAAGACCTCCAAGGTCCCTTCCAACTCTATTTTTTATTATTATTATTATTATTATTATTATTATTATTATTATTATTATTATTATTATTATTATTATTATTATTATTATATTGTTGTTTTGTTGTTGTTGTTGTTGTATGACAGATACATCATTAACACTAAGATTAAACATAAAAGTCCCCATTTTGGGGTCCAGCAAGAGAGCCTGTGTGGCCTTCCCTGCTTTGGCACGTCCCCCTCCCCCAAAGGGAAGAGGACTCTCCCTCCTGAGCCCTGCATAAGGGCGTGGGGGCTAGAGACCCCACACTTGGTTTCAGTGGCCACCAGGTCACCCGGTTTTCGACCGGAGCACAAAGCCATTAATCCCTCCAGACCCCACCCTGGAGCCCTCCTCCCCCTTTAGCCCCAGGGTGGCTCCTTCCCAGAGCCAGGACGGACCTCCGTCTTGGATTTCTCCTCCTCCTCCTCCTCCTCTTCCTCCTGGGGAGCACATCCCCTCAGTGGCCGAGGCCTCCCACTGCTCAGCTCCGTGGGCCATGGCCAGCCTGTGGGCTGCAGCCAGGGAGATCCAGCCTGCCTCTTGGGAGGCTCCGGTGGGCTGGCATCGGAACGCTGGCAGGGGCTCCCGTGACGACCGGGCTGGGCCAGAAGGGCCTGGAACCGAGGGGCCCAGCCCAGGCGGGCCATGGAACAGCCACCCTGGGGTCCTGCTGGGTCTCTGGGCACGGAGCCCGGTGGCTGGATTAGGCCACGGGCACCCGGAGTGAGTCTCTGGCTGCCAGGAGCATCAGAAGGGAGGCCTTGAGCCTCCCCCCCCACAAGGGAGCCCCCCCTGACCTCCCACCTCATGTCTAGGGAGAGTCTCAGCCCCCCAGGCCTCAGGGCTATCCCCAGGGGGCTTTCCCCAAAAGGCAACTGGACTCTCTTGGGGTTTTTTCCCTTGAAAACGTTTCGCTTCTCGTCCAGGAAGCTTCTTCAGTTCTGTTCAGTTTTCTTCCTTTCTCTTCCCAGCTGACTGAAGAAGCTTTTTCGATGAGAAGCCAAATGTTTTCAAGGAAAAAAACTTAAGAAAAGCCAGTTGCCTTTTGGAAAAAGCTCCTTTGGGATTCCCACATTGTGCCGAGACTCACTTAATGGGCAGAGCGCTTGGTTGGCCTGGCTCAGGGGTAGGCAACCTTGGCTCTTTTATGACTCGTGGACTTCAACTCCCAGAATTCCTCAGCCAGCACAGCTGGCTGAGGAATTCTGGGAGTTGAAGTCCACGAGTCATAAAAGAGCCAAGGTTGCCTACCCCCTGGCCTGGCTTCTCAGCTGCTTGGGGGACACTTTGGGCTAGGAAAACCAGGCCTGGCTGGAGGAACGCAGCCCTTTCCCGCCCCACACCAGCCCCCGTGAGCAGCCCCTCTGCTGTGTGAATAAAGCTGGGATGCAAAACCACCTCATGCTCTGTCACTCCAGCTACAAAAGGGGCCACACATTTAATATAATAATAATAATAATAATAATAATAATAATAATAATAATAATAATAATAATAATAATAATAAAGTTGGAAGGGACCTTGGAGGTCATCTAGTCCAACCCCCTGCTCAGGCAGGAAACCCTATACCAGTGATGGCGAACCTTTTAGAGACCGAGTGCCCAAACTGCAACTCAAAACTCACTTATTTATTGCGGGTGCCAGGTGGGTGTGACCTACTGGGTGGGCGTGGCTGTGGTTGTCATGGCAGACTGGATGGGTGTGGCCAAGGTGGGCATGGTCACCTCGATGTTGCTCGTTGGGAGGGACGCCTGTTGGGGGCCGGGCAGGGTTGGGGAGATCCAAGAGGTCTCTGGCAGGTGGGGTGGTGGGTAGGAGGCTCGTCCTGTGTGGTGAGGCGAGGCAGGGTGGGGGTGCCATTATTTCAGGGCAAGGCAAGGCAGGAGCTGGGGCAGCTGCTGTCTGACACCATCGGCCCCCGCACACAGAGGCCAGCGAGCGCATGGGGGCCGACAGTGTCCGTCGGCAGCCACAGCCTGCCAGCCCCTCGACCGGTGCACTCTGGGGCTCTGCAGCCCGCTACCAGCAGTTCAGAGAAGTGCCCACAGAGAGGGCTCTGAGTGCCGTCTCTGGCACGTGTGCCATAGGTTCGCCACCACTGCCCTATACCATTTCGGACAAATGGCTGTCCAGTTTCTTCTTAAAAATCTCCAGTGTTGGCGCATTCACCGCTTCTGGAGGCCGGTGGTTCCACTGGTTAATTGTTCTCACTGTCAGGAAGTTTCTCCTTAGTTCCAGGTTGCTTCTCTCCTTGATTCGTTTCCATCCGTTGCTTCTTGTCCTGCCTTCAGGCGCCTTGGAGAATAGCTTTAATATTTTTAATCTCTCTCCCTCCTGGAGCACAGGACTCACGGAATGGAGGCAAAGCCATGCAGGCAGATTCAACACTGAAAAGCTCGTGTGTCTTCAATGTCTACGGAGATTCTCAGCCATCCAGGTCGTGAAAAAGCATCTTTGGGGTGATTGCGGCATTTTAGTTTGAACAGACTTTTTTAGACTTCATAAAAACACCAAACATGAAACACGTTGAGGAGAGCCATTTCTTCAATGTGGCCAAGCCTCACGGCCGAGCCTATGCAGGTGACCCAGATGCCCCTCCCGGACTCAACTGATGCCCCCTGCATGCCAGCCACACCCAGCCTGCGCTCCGGCCTGGGGCAGCTATCGCTTCACTCTCCCACGAAGGGGCTAAAGTCCCACAACTGCCTTCCCGATAAGCACAACCATCAGCTTCCTCTGGAAAGTGGCATCTCCTTCGAAGCTTTTGACCCCCGCTCCTAACCCGGCTTTTGCCATCAACGCCGGCCAACATTAGGTGAGACCCAGCTCAAAAACAGCCACTGTGAGAGGGACCTCGGAGTCTTGGTGGACGATCACTTGACTAGGAGCCAGCCCTGTGCAGCAGCAGCCAAAAAAGCTAACACAATCCTGGGTTGCATAAACAGAGGCATAGAATCAAGAGCATGCAAAGTATTAGTACCGCTTTATAAAACCCTAGTGAGACCACACTTGGAATACTGCAGCCAATTTTGGTCACCACACTACAAAAAAGATGTTGAGATTTTGGAAAAAGTTCAGAGAAGAGCAACTAAGATGATCACAGGCCTGGAGACTAAGAATGGTCGCAGGACTTGGGTTTGGCCAGTCTAAAGAAAAGGAGAAACAGGGGCGACATGATAGCAGTATTCCAGGATCTGAAGGGCTGCCACAAAGAAGAGGAGGGGGTCACGTTATTCTCCAAAGCACCAGAGGGCAGGACAAGAAACAATGGCTGGAAACTGATCAAGGAGAGAAGCAACCTGGAATTAAGGAGAAACTTCCTGACTGACAGTGAGGACAATTAACCAGTGGAACAGCTTGCCTCCAGAAGTCGTGGGTGCTCCATCACTGGAGTTTTTTAAAAAGAGACTAGACATCCACTTATCTGAGATACTATAGGTCCTCTTGATTGAGCAGGGGGCTGGACTAGAAGACCTCCAAGGTCCCTTCCAGCTCTATTCTATTCTTCTTCTTGGAACATGTGTGGGGAGGACTCCCTTGCCCAGCCTCCCTGGCGTGGCCTGGCTCCCAGGCATGCTACATGCCCCCTACTCATCTCTTTCCAGCCACCAACAGCCTGCAAAGCTCCACCTTCAGGAGTCTTAACATGTGTGCTAGACTATCTATTACCTACCTAAAGCAGAGCTGGGGAACTATGGACCCTTTATGACTTGTGGACCAACTGTTCTGAAGTCCACTAGCTCTGCTGGCTGGGGAATTCTGGGAGTTGAAGTCCACAAGTCTTAAAGTGGGTTGATGAGCTGGCTGCAGCCATAATGCATGTGGGCCCCAGGGTGTGAGAGGGTGAATAGAGGAGGACAACAGCCCCCCCATTCCCCTTCCTTTTCAGGACTCTACTTCGCAGGGAATGAAGAGCTGGCCCTTTAAGCAGGGGCTCAGCGGTTTGAGAAGGAGGGGGTGGGCAACAGCTGGGCAGCAGCAAAGGGAGAAGTGCAGGTGGCATATTCCAAGGAGGGATTATGTAATAACGAAGAGCAAAAAGGAGAAGTGGAAGCCTGATGCCGAAGCTGCCAGAGAAGAGCAGGGTGCCACCAAAGATGGCGCAGGGTGGCAAGAGCAGGACCACCAGCCAGAGACCCTGGAAGAGGCTGGCCAAGGACGAACCAAGATGCCCTCTGGAGTTGGAAGCTGGGGGCCCAGCAAACCCAGGGCACCCGAGTCTGGCATCTGGGAGGGTGGCACACCTGAGGTTTTGCAGTGCTGGCAAAGGCACCCAGTGGTGGGCAAGCTCCTAGGCCAGGGGTCTCCAACCATGGCAACTTTAAGACCTATGAACATGCTGGCTGGGGAATTCTGGGAGTTGCAGTCCACGAGTCATAAAAGAGCCCAGGTTGCCTACCCCTGGTCTAGACAGATGAACTTGAAAGCCGCCGGAGGAGGGAGCTTCGTCGGAAGGGATGACCGAGACCTGGTGCACAAGATGCAACTAGGCGGAACCAACAGGAAACAGCATCTCACATTTTGCATAGAGGCAAGGGGGAAACTACCAGAAGAGTCCCACAGGGAAAGCCAAGAGGGCAAAGAATTGATCTGAGACCACAAAGATTTGAGCTTCACTAAAATATATTCCGCGGGGTAAGAAAAGGTCAAGGAGGAGGAGGAGGAGGAGGCCAACTCCGCCTCCAGGAAACTTTAGAAGCCAGGAAAATAGAAAGACTCTCTCGAAGAGCATAAGCTCCGGATGGAAACACAGCCGGACTCCGAAAAGTAAGTGTCACGCCTGCCCTCTTCAGCGTATGCCGTAAAGCCCAGGGGAGGAGATTGGGGAAGTGGGGCACGGGCATCGGGAGGAAAAAGGGGGGGGATGACAAGCGGTGTCAATCCGGAATAAACAGAGGACAGAGCATGTGAACGGAGTGCACAACTCCACCAAGCCTCAAAGCCGTTGACAAAACATCAGAAACTGAGGCTAGCAGAGACCCTGGTGGATGGATTGGTCGTGGGGGGGGGAGGCTCTCCATGGTCAGAGGGCCAGCCCCCCCCCTCCATCCCAAATGCTTCCATTGGGATTCTCCTATTTGTATTTATTATTTCAACTTCAAGGCTGTCCACAAATTACAAAGAAACAGTAAATATACCAAGAGACAAGCTAGAGCAGGAGGGGTGTCTACCGTGGCCGCTTTAAGACCTGTGGACTTCAACTCCCAGAATTCCCCAGCCAGAATTCTGGGAGTTGAAGTCCACAGGTCTTAAAGCGGCCACGGGTGGACCCCACCCCCGCAGTCAAGCAGCCCCTCTGAGCCCGGGAGGGCAACCAGAATTAGGCAGACCCCCCAGAGGGGGGCGAGGGGAGGGTCAGCCGCCGCCACTCCAGCTGACCCGGCCGGACAGGCGCTTCCGAGTCAGGCGAGGCCTACCCCGGGGAAGAGCAGCGCCTCGAGTCGCCCTGCCAGCCGGGCAGCGCTCCCCCCCCTCCCCGGCCCTTCTTCACAAGAGGTCGGGGCCTTCCGGGAGGGCCCCCATGGCGGAAGGCCCCTGGTCCCCTTAACGGACGGGCAAGGCATTGTGGGAGCTGTAGTCCGGCCCAGACGGAGAGGCGTAAAAGAGCGCGCAGGCGCGGGGCGCGCGCAGGTGTTCAAGGCAGCAGAGAGGGAGGCGGGGGGGCAACAGAGCGCCACGCCCCCCGGCCACCCTGCTCCGCGCCGCAGCCGCAAACCAAATAATTCACCCGCCCGCCCGCCGCACCCTCACCTGGGCCGCCCCTCTCGTGCGTCGCCGCCGCCGCCGCCTCCGCCGTAGCCAGAATCCCCCGCCGGAGCTCCGCCGCCGAAACGCGGACTCGCTCCAGCCCCGCCGCCGCCATCTTGGCTCGCCGAAGCCAAGGAAACAAACGGCGGACGGTGGCCGAGCGCGGACAAACCGGCCCCGGAGCCTCAGGGCGCATGCGTCAGCCGCGAGCGGAGGGGCGGGGCCCGGCGCGGGACTGGCCCACGTGCGTCGCTCGCGGCTGCTGTTGCTGCTGGTCGTGTGAAGCGGGGCGGGGCGAGCCGAACGGCCGGGCGGGGCTTCTCCAGGCGCCCGCTCGGAAGAGACGGCGAGTCCCGCGTCCCCGCACCGCAAAAGGCAGGAGGGCTGCTAGGGGCTTCCGTGTCAGCGCTGGTGGGAGTCTTCCTGGTGGTCCCTGGATTAAGTTGCATGCTGTTAAATTACCGACAAGCCAAAAATTCACTATCCTGACATTGATGATGTTACCTAGTCAGGTCATGAAACGTCTGCAAGGAAACCACCAGGCTCAGAGGGCACCAAGGACCCCACAGTCCTCCTCCTCTCTACAAACCTTACACCATTCTAGCACTGATGTTACCTAGTCGGGTCATGAAACCACCAGGCTCAGAGGGCACCAAGGGACCCCACAGTTCCTCCTCCTCCTCCCTTCTAACAGTGATGATGTTACCTAGTCGGGTCATGAGACGTCTGCAAGGACTCAGAGGGCACCAAGGACTCCACGCTCCAGGTATCTCGTGAACCCAGCACTTAATCGTCTGCTTGCCAGGCTCTCTGTGTGGTGCCCCACGCACTGCCTCTTTCCAAAGGCAAAGGAAGCCAAAACGATTCGGAAGTCCTCATTTTATTGCAAGTGCAGGGTTCCTCTCCGTGGCACGCTGGATGCTTCCTAGAAGCCTGCTGGAGGGTTGAGAAACGGGCCTCGTGGCTGGGCACCCTGTGACGGCCCAGACTCCGCGGGTCTCGAAAACGGGCCCGCTTCCCAATTTGGTACCTGGAACCTTGTTCTGCCGAGTGCACCGACCCCAGGTAGCTGGAGGAAATCTCTGGACCTCCACCTGCTTCCAAAAGTTCTGCTTCCTGGTTGTGCAGCTGCCCCCAGAGCCCCCTGCCCACAATTCAGAGCCGCTCCAGAGGAGGGCAGGAGGCTCGGGAAACCAGGCCAGGGAGGGGGTGGCTAACGAGCCGGGCGCAAGCTGGCCTGGCAAAGGGAGAGGGCCGAGTGGGGCGCGATGCCATTCAAACCCCAGAAGGACCAGGGCTCGCTTTCTGGTGCCCCCCTCCCCCCCCCGAGTGGGACCGATGGACATACAGGTGACAAGGAAGATGGAGCCACAACAGGGAGGCCGGTTTATTTAGTGAACAAACACACCACCTCACATCTGGAAGAGTCCACACGCCTTCGGAGAGCTTTGCGGGTTCCGCCCACGGCAGCTTTGCTCGAGGTGCCCCAAGCCGGGAGGCCGGTGGCCAGAGGGCAAAGATGGCCAAACCCGCTCGTCTCAGGGTCCGAATGGGCCCGTTTCGGCCACGGTCCAAGATGGAGGCGGGGAGGGAGGGACACTCGCTTTCAAACCTAGAACTCGTGTCAGCCCTTGAGGAGTCGGGCTCCCGGGAGGGAAACAGTCCAGAGGGCAAAAGGGGGGAGGGGGGCTGGCTTCCTAAGGCCGCTCTACCAGTGGAGGCCAGAAGGGGGCGTCTTCTCATCCTTATTGCTTTCCAGGGAGAAGGGGGGGATCCGCACATCGAAATGGGAGCCGTCGGGCCGCTCAAAACGGAAGGTGCCCCTGGGAAGGAAGGAAGGAAGAAGCCCAGGTGAGGCCCCCACAAGACGGACATACAGGCAGTCCCCGACGTACGACCACAATTGAGCTGAACATTTTCCGTTGCTAAGTGAGTTTTGCCCCATTTTAACGACCTTTCTTGCCACAGCGGCTAAGTGAATCACTGCAGTTGTTAAGTGAATCTGGCTGGCTCGGCCAGGAGGTTGCAAAAGGGGATCCCGGGACCCTGGGACACAGCGACCGTCATAGATGTGAGCCCCGTTGACAAGATGTGAATTTCGATCACGTGACCAATGGTCGTAAGTGGGGGAAATGGTCCTAAGTCACTCTTTTCAGTGCTGCTGTATCTTTGAACGGTTGTTAAGCCGAGGACTGCCTGTTCTTGGCCACTATGAAAACAATGTAACGCTGTGTCCCAGGAACAAGCTGGAGGAGGGGCCGGTGTTCCTGAGAGGGCCCCTTCCGCGTGGCAGGGGACCTCGCCCCGTGCTCCGTCCCCACACCAGCTGCGAGCGGCCAGGGAACCCAGCCCTCACCCTCCTGTCCATCCGGGCCTCCCACCTGCCCCTCCCGGCCTGACACAGGAGGTGGCTGCCGGCCGAGCTCTCCTGGCCTGAGACGCGCCCTCTTCCCTTCCCTGCTCCTCCAGCCGGTGCCCCAGTGCCCCCGAGGCTCACCACATGTGCCCACTGGACGCCTGCAAGGAGACGTGGCTGCTGTACTGGAAGGCCGGCTGCTCTTTGGACAAGACGGGCTCCTGGGGGGAGAAAAGGCGGTCATGGCCTCCCCGGGGCTGCAGCCGGGCGTGTGGGCCTCCCAAAGGGCAAGTGGGCTGAGCTCACATCGGCCGCCAGGATGTCTTTGCGCTGAGCCTTCAGAATGGAGGGGTCCACAAATGGCAGCTTTGAGATTTGTGGATTTCAACTCCCAGGACGAGTCTCTACCAGGACACAACCCCCCCCCCTTACTCACTCGCCCCACAACTCCCCGGCCACGGACGGTCTCCAGGGTGCCGGACAAGCTGAATATCCTCCAGTGCCGTTCACGGAGCTGCACAACTTCATTGTTGAGGTTTTCCAGGCGGATGCAGTAGCGCCACTGGACAGGAGGCAGAGAAAGCGGGCCCCGAATCAGAGGGGCCGGGGCTCCCCTCGCCCTTCCAAGGGCAGAAGAAGGCCCCTCCGGACCCCCACGCCACCCAGCCAGCCACAGAAACAGTGAGACTCACCCAGTAGACGTGAGAGTTCTGCGCTTCCTGTTAAGAGAAGAGAGAGAGAGGCCGTTTCCCAGGGCTGAATGCCAGCTTGGCCCCCGGCCTGCCCAATCTCGCCCAGCTGGCAGTGCTGCCCCTTGCGAGGTTCAGTCCCTGTATCGAAACTTGAAAGGGCCGACATGGGGCCAAGCAGGTGGGGACAGAACCAGCCAGAGCAGGCTATTCTTATTTTTATCTAATTATCTGTCTTGCACCAGAAGGCAGGATGAGAAACAACGGATGGAAACTAGTCAAGGAGAGAAGCAACCTGGAATTAAGGAGAAACGTCCTAACAACGAGGACAGTTAACCAGTGGGACAGCTTGCCACCAGAAATCGTGGGTGCTCCATCACTGGAGGTTTTTAAGAAGACTGGACAGCCACTTGCCTGAAATGGTATACAGTCTCCTGCTTGAGCAGCGGGCTGGACTAGATGACCTCCAAAATCCCTTCCAGCTCTATTTTGATTCTTTCTTTCCTTTCCTTCCTTCCTTTTTCTTTCTTTCCTTTCTTTCTCTTTCTCTTCTTTCTTTCTTACTTATCTTCACCTGTTCATCTCTTTCTTTCTCTCTCTCATTTGCAGCTGACTATGAGTCTGTTAAGACTTTGAATACTACTGAATATTTACTTGTTACTCTACGATTAACTTGCTTTCTTTTTCTTCTTTACATTCTAGTGTTTTTCCGTTTACAGCCAGTCCTCCACTTTCGACCACAGTCAAGTCCAAAATATCTGTTGCTAAGTGAGACATTTGGTGAGTTTTGCCCACCTTTTTTTGGCCACAGTTGTTAAGAGAATCACCGCAGCTGCTAACATGGTTGTTCAGTGACTCTGGCTTCCCCCACTGACTTTGCTGTCAGAAGGTTGTAAAATGGGATCACGTGACACCCCCGGGACACTGCGACCGTCATAAACATGAATCGGTTGCCCAGCACCTGAATTTTGATCACGTGACCCACAGCAGTCACCGCAGCGGTCGCAAGTCTGAAAAACGGTCACAAGTCACTTTCCTCAGTGCTGCTGTGACTCCGAATGGCCACTAGCCCCCCCCCGGGACTGTGCTCTTCTCCTGGGTGTTGTCCTCTACCGCTGCCTTTGTCCTCCCCCCCTTCTGAGGCAGGGGGAATGGGGGGGCCGCACCTACCCGCATGCCCATGTAGAAGGGGATGACCGTCACCCGGATGTTCTCGGTGGTCTCCCGGTGCACGTCGGAGAGCTCCAGCCACGGGTGGTTCTTCTCCTGCCAGGCGCAGAGCGTGTCCCTTGCCACGAACGGGGGAGCTGAATGAAAGTTCCAAGGGGAAACGGTCAGGGGAGAGAAGGCCGGCCCACAGAAACACCCCCACCCCCCAACCGCGGTCTGGCCGGGTGACTGAGCAGCCATCAACCGCCACAAGCTGTGCAGGCGGTGATCACGTGACCGTGACCGATTTTTATGGCCGTTAAGCAGACCCTCTCTTTGCTATGGGAGACCTTCTGTCAGAAAGCGAACGTAAAAATGCCGCTCTCCAGCAAACATGTCCTAAATCGAGAATCAGATGAATGCAGGACACTGCAAGCAACCATAAATGTGGGCCAGCTGCTGAGCCCCCAAAGTGCAATAATGCGACTGTGGGTCAAGGGAGGCTTGTGGCAATCGGAACCCCGAATCCAGGGACTTTAAGTGCGTTTTGTGGGGTCACTCACAACCTGTCGTTAAGTTGAGGACCCCCCGCAAGGGTAAAATCAAGGGAAGAAGCACGCTGACCCTCCTTGGCTCTGGGTGAGCTGAGGGGGGAAGAACCAACAGCCTCACTGCCACAACCTGTGGGGCCCACCACCACCACCACCACGGGCCGGTTGGGGGAAGTGCTGGGCCTCGACCTGGCTGGCCACGTGCTAAAAATGCATCAGGGGAGATGATGGGCCCGGCCGGTCCTTGACCTACAACTGGTTGTTTAGTGACCAAAGTTACAACAGCACTGAAAAAACCTGCGGCCATTTTTCACACTTATGACTATTGCAGCATCCCCGTGGTCAAAATTCAGATGCTGACTCAGACTTATGACGGTTACTGGGTCACTTGATCCCCTTTTGCGACTTACTGACAAACCAACTCAATGGGGGAAGCCAGATTCACTAAACAGATACTCGCTTAACCACTGCTGTGATTTGCTTAACGGCCACGGCAACAGAGGTCGTGCAGCTCACTTAACAACGGCCTGGCTTAGCAGTGGGGATTGTGGACTCCATTATGATCCCAAGTCGAGGGCTCTCTGTGCTGAGGGGGGGCTCGGAGATCCCTCTCGGCCTGTGGATTCCAAGAGCCGGTGGGGAGAGACCCTGCCCCCCCCCAAGGCCAGCCCTGCTCCTGGAGTGGGGAGCGAGGGGCGAAGGTGTGTGTGTGTGTGTGTGAAGTACCTTTTGTCTGATCGTACATGAGGAAGCGCTCGAAGAGCTCGTGCTGGATGGGCACCTGGTCCGTGGAGGTGTAGGGCAGGATGTCCTCGTGGCTCACGTAGTCCAGCCCTGGAAAGGGACCCAGAGGAGCGGCAGGTGGGGCTCAGCCACAAAACCCACCGACTCATTTCACAGGCTGAAAAACTCTTTTCAGGCTCCCAAAGCGGCCAAGTAGGGGAGGGCAACACCGGAGAACCGGGACGTGTTAACCTCAAATCCAGGCCGTCATTCTGGCTATGTGTCACAACCCAACTCTCTCTCTCCCCCCTCTCTCTCCTCCCTCTCTCTTTCCTCCCTCTCCTCTCTCTCTTTCCTGCCTCCCTCTCTCACGTTTTCTTGCAGACGTTTCATGACCCGACTAAGTAACATCATCAGAGCCAGTGATGATGCTAGCACCACTAGCTCTGATGATGTTGCCTAGTTTGGGTCATGAAACATCTGCGAGAAAACCACCAAACTCAGAGAGCACCAAGGACATGGTCGTTATCCTTCTCTCCTCAATCCCCCTCCCTTCTAGCACTGATGATGTTCCCTAGTAGGGTCATGAAACGTCTGCAAGGAAACCACCCAGCTCAGAGAGCACCAAGGACCCCACAATTCTCCTCCTCCTCCTCCCTTCTAGCACTGATGATGTTCCCTGGTTGGGTTATGAAACGTCTGCAAGGAAACCACCCAGCTCAGAGAGCACCAAGGAGTGAGCCCTCATTTCAACCCTGAGCTTCAAAGATTCTCCTTTATTGGTTCCTATCTTTTGGTCAGCAACTGCCTTCCTGTTAAGTCTGATGGCCACTGTTCCACAGCCGGCCCTCTGGAACCGCTCTCCCTCGGAGCCCCCTCCCTCCTTCAAGGGCGCCAAAGGACGCTGCCACCTTCTCTTCGGGCTGAGCGTTCCCAATTTCTCACCCTCCTTTTGGCTTACCTGGGATTGCATAGAGGGCTCGGCTGTCGTCGTGGTTGGCCAAAAACGTCACGGCTTCTGTTTGGGATCTCTGAGACTGAAGGAGAAACAGGAAGGGCGGGAGGTGGAGCCGCAGTCCGAGACACGCAGGCCCAGGGGGACTCAGGTCCGAGTAACCCTGCGTGAAACTGACGGGACGGTGCGGCCAGGTTCCAACTGTGTGGCCATCGTGCTGGACTTTCAAAAGCTGGACTGTCTGCCTCCACCCGTTGCTGGGACTCTCAAGTGCAGTGCTAAGGGGTCTCCCCGACACAGGGATGGGAGCTGCCGTGGTGTTAGCAGTGGTGGCCTCTCACACTGGAAGGGACTGTTGGGCAGGCTTTCCTTCAGGCCCACTGCAGGGGGGTGGGGGTGGGGGTGGAGGCAGCTGCTCGCAGAATGTTCTCACCCGGAGAAAGTTCATTGTCTGTTTCCACTGCTGAGCTCTTAAAGGTCTCAGCTGGTGTTTTAGAGTCCCTCCTTTTCTAATTTCAGCATCTAAAACAGCGGTTCTCAACCTGTGGGTCGCGGCCCCATTTGGGGTCGAACGACCATTTCACGGGGGTCGCCAAACAACGCAGTCCGCCATTTTTTCCCCCCTTTTCCTTAGCTGTGCTACTCCCTCTTATTCTATTGGCGTTCGAAAGCCAATAGAATCTCTCTTGAATAGAGTCTAATTCTATTGGCTTTCAAAAGCCAATAGGAATTGTCCGGGCTGTCTCTGCCCTGCTGAGCCCGCCAAAAGTCCCAGTCTGCAAACGGCGCTGCAAGTTGTCTGCAGCTAAGGTGAGCTTTCTGGACGTTTCCACCCCTCCCTGCTGAGCAACTCCTAAATGTAAGTAAAAGAGGGCCAGGGGTGGGAGGTGGGAGGCTGGCGGGCGCAGGGAGGGTTGCTGGCGTGTGTGGGGCCCAGCGGGTGCCTTACCTCCCTTGGGCTGGGCCAGCTGGTGGCCCAGCCAGTGGTCGGCCTGCACCGTCGCTGCCACTTGCCAGCTACACCTCGGCCGGCGCAGGGGGCGGCACCACGCATGCGCGGCGCTCCCGGGCCGAGGCGGTTGCTGGGCGACGGCCTGCGTCCACCCTCGGCCTGCCCAGCATGCGCTCCAGCCGCAGGAGAGGAGGCGGAGCGTGCGCGCCTCCTCCTGCCCCGCCCGCAGGGAAATACAGGTAGTCCTCGACTTACGACCACATGGTTTGGGGTCGCGGCATTAGGAAGGTTGAGAACCACTGATCTCAAAGGCTTTATCTACTCCTATTTGCAGAAGGAGCTGGCTCATTTTCACTTCCTTTCCAACGACTCCCCACTGCCAAAAGCTCGCCTACCCCGTGCCTGGAACGTGGCTGGCTGGGGAATTCTGGGAGTTGAAGTCCACGAGTCTTAAAGTGGACAAGGCTGGAGAGCTCCGGCCCAGGAGGTCACCTGGTCTTTACGATCCAGATGGATGAAATGCCCTCCAAAGACGTGAATTTAATTGCCTCACCTTAGGCTGCTTATAAAAAACGAGGGACATCCTCCATCTTTGCCCCCCAGGGATTTGTCAGCTGAAGTAACTTTGATTTTAGTCATTTAAATTTAAGCTGCCCTGTTTTGTGCCTGTAATTTGTAGCTTGCAAGTTGCTGTAATCCCCCTTGCATATTGTGCAGACACTAAGGCGGGATCCAAATTTTAAAATAAATACGTTTAAGCTTTCTGAGAACCGCAAGAGAGAAGGCAGGAGATGTCGCTGATGTGGGGAAGTGCGTTTCGTTAACAGCACTCCTGACTATCGGCTTCCGATTTAGCGGGTCAACAAGAACATCGGAAGGTGGGACTCACCCACTCCAGGGCCAGGGAGAAGAAGGGAGGCAGACCGCTCACGCTTCTACGTCAGCAGCCTAGTTTCGGGGGGATGGGATGGGACTCCCCACAACTCTCTGCAGCGCAGAATGTCCAACTAGGTACGGGTGAGGGGCTCGTCCTCAGGAACAGCGATGTACTCCCATCATCATCCATGCCACGATGGGCGGATGGAAGGAAGGAAGGAAGGAAGGAAGGAGGGAAAGAAAAGGAGAGGCGAGGAGAGGAGAGGGACGCAGAAGCACTTACTATATGTGGGCAGTCACGAGCGTCGATCAGCACCTGATAGTAGGTGTGTGTCTTGCCTTTCACTTCTTTGGATCCATGTGCAGCTCCAGACTCGCTCCTGCAACGAGACGGGCCGGGCTGAAAAAACTGCCTCCTTAGCAGACTGTCAGCAACCAGTCCTCGACTTAATGACCATAACTGAGCCCAACACTTCTGCCGCTAAGCGAGATAATGGTTAACTGAATTTGTCCCCTTTTACGACCTTTCTTGCCGTCGGTAAGCGAATCACTGCAGTTGCTGAAGTTAGTAGCAGGATTGCTAAGCGAATCTTCCCCCATTGGCTTTTGCTCGCAAAAAGGGATCACCTGACCCCGGGACACGGCAACCGTCACAAGTACAAGTCAGTTGCCAAACCTGTCTGAATTTTGATCACGTGACCATTGGGACGCTGCAAGCGTTGTAAGTGAAAAGTGGTCGTAAGTCTCTTTTTTCAGCTCCGCTGTAACTCTGAACGGTCACTGATGGTTGTAAATAGAGGACTCCCTGTGCATTTCACCCACAACCAGCCGTGCCTCGCGCTGAGCCAGATGTCACCATCAAAGAGCTGCCTTGAGGAGGCGCGGACGCCTCTCGCTATGCCTGCAGGAGAACCTTCCAACCTCTATTATTTTATAGTCTGAATTCGCCCAAACAGGTCCGGACACAGCACTCCCGGGTGCTGCTCCTCCTGTCCCCTGCAAGACACACACACACACCGCTTCTGCCCTGTGCAAAATTTAGTCAGCAAGTCCCTGCAGGAATGAGGCACTGACTCAATTTTACAAAACTAATAAAAACAAATTGTGTCCCACAAAGACAGACTCAATACGAGATCAAATATTTGTCTTTTTTTTTTTTGTTGGTTCCGTTTTTAAAATCACTTCATCTCCGCAGCCTCCCTCCGTGAAGTCCCTCGAAAGCCTTTCCTGCCTGTCCCAACGAGGGACGTGGAGGCTTCTAAGTCAGTGATGGCGAACCTTTTAGACAGTGAGTGCCCCAAAACTGCTCCCCCACCCGTCCCTGCTCTGCCCTGCCCGCTGGACCACCCACCATCTCCACGGCCTGCCACAGATCACCCAGGCAGCCCAGCAGCACCATGATGGCCACGCCCTCCGCCCATGCCCCACAGCATCATCTGCGTGCGATGGGGCGCAAGGGCGGAGTCTTGTCCCCACTGCCCGGCTACCATGTCCTTGGCTGTGCTGCTTCATATGGGCTGTGCCCGGGGGCAATTCTCCTCCGGGGGCTGCTGCTGGTGAGGAGGGGGCCGTGGGAGGAGGCGGGGCTGGAGTGACGGTGTGTGTGCCCACAGAGAGGGCTCCGAGTGCCGCCTCTGGCACCCGTGCCATAGGTTCGCCACCACTGTTCTAAGTGCTCCCTCGCCTCTGCCACCTCAGTGACCGGCAACCCCGAACAACTGCGAGACCGCTTACTTTTCAGGCACAGCAGAAGCGACGTCTCGGTCGTACAACCTGGCTTGCCAAGGAAAGAGGACAATCCCCCGGTATCCGAATATACTGTGGAGAAACAACTGCAAGAGAAGGTCAAGACAGGCGAGACGGGGGTCAAGAGAAGCAGAACGCAGGGGAGGAAAACGTCTCCCTGAAGCTGAGGACACATCCAGCTTTAATGGTGCTCACTGTTTGTTGCAGGGCCGGGAGGCACAGAAAGATCCAGGACCCTATCCGCTAAAATTTTACACAATGCAGGAGATCAGGATTTCAGCTTGCGACCAGACCAGGGCTGGGGAACCTTGGCTCTTTTATGACTGGTGGACTTCAACTCCCAGAATTCCTGAGCCACCCATGCTGAGCCTGAATGCTGGTTCAGGAATTCTGGGAGTTGAAGTCCAGAAGTCATCAAAGGGGTCATAGTTCCCCCATGCTGGCTCAGGAATTCTGGGAGTTGAAGTCCACGAGTCATAAAAGAGTCAAGGTTCCCCACCCCTGGACCAGAAACTCATAATTCAAAGCAGCCTAACAAAGTTAATACCCTTAAACCCTTTTGCTTTCCAAACAATCCTCCCAAATCTAATTGCCTTAAGCAGACAAAGCCTTGAAACTTCTCGACTTCCTGGTTGCCAGGAGCCACGTCTACTCGCCCCAGTCCACCAAGCAAGGAATGTTTGGCAAAGCATTTATATTTATTTACACCATACGTTTATTATTTTTATAAATAACTCAAGGTGGCAAACCTACCCAATGCTCCTTCCTCCTCTTTTCCCTGCAATAAGAACAACCCTGTGAGGTTGTGAGAGACAGAGGAACTGACCCAAAGTCACTCAGCCAGTTTTCATGTCTAAGGCAGGACTAGAACTCACCGTCTCCCGGTTTCCTCTTAACCACTAGACCAGGGGTAGGCAACCTTGGCTCTTTTATGACTCATGGACTTCAACTCCCAGAATTCAGCTTGGCTCAAGCTTGGAAACCTCTTCCTTCCCCTCAGCGTGGCTGGCTGAGGAATTCTGGGAGTTGAAGTCCACCAGTCATAAAAGAGACAAGGTTGCCTACCTCTGGCCTAGGCCTAGGCTGCTTCACGACTGGTGGACTTCAACTCCCAGAATTCCTGAGCCAGCATGGCTCAGCTTGGAAACCTCTTCCTTCCCCTCAGCATGGCTGGCTCAGGAATTCTGGGAGTTGAAGTCCACCAGTCATAAAAGAACCCAGGTTGCCCACCCCTGCCCTAGACCAAACTGGCTCTCAACATGTTATACAAACTGTCAGAAGGTGAATCTTCTTTAGGGTACCATATAAGGGAGGGAGGGAGGGAGGAGGAGGAGGAGGAGGAAGATGACCTTGGTGCTCTCTGAGCTGGGTGGTTTTCTTCCAGACGTTTCATTACCCGACCAGGGACCGTCAGGAGGGAGGGTGATGCCCCATTATGGACGGAGTGAAGCCCTTCCACCCAAGCGACTCGCTCACCTGCCCAGTCTCGTATTTGCCATGTTGCTTTGGCACTTCAAAGACCCCCACCGTCTCCAAGACTTTGCCCTCAGGGCGATTCCTAGGGTTGGGGGAAAGGAAAGAGCGGCGTCAGGCTCTCCTGGCAGGGCTCCAGAGGATGACCGGAGCAACAGCAGAATCCCAAGCGCCCTCCCAGGCCCGGTTCACCCTTCGGCCCCCGCCATTGAAGCTCCGTCTGGCAGGGGGGACATCCAGGAGGTCACGGCGAAAGAGGCAGTAAAAGAGGACGACGGGTTGAAGGTGAACCACAAAGCCCGCTGCAGTCCCGGCGGCCACAAGTTTAGAAAACATTTAGAGAGCAGCCACGGCCAAACCCCGGACAGGAGCAACTTCAAGGATCCTCAACAGCTTTCGAAGAGATCGCGATATAAATCAGGGATCAGCAACGCGGCTCTTGCAACCGGATACCTTGTGGCAGGCAGGCCCACCGGCTCCACTTAAACGGTGTCCAGAAAGCTTCAGATGGGCTTAAATCAGTGTTTCTCAACCTTGACCATTTTAAGGCATGTGGACTTCAACTCCCAGAATTCCACAGCCAGCAAAGCTGGCTGTGGAATTCTGGGAGTTGAAGTCCACATGCCTTAAAATGGTCAAGGTTGAGAAACACTGGCTTAAATGCTCGTGCTGCACTTTTCTTGCCAGTATCTTTGGCCTTGCCCGCTTCCTGGGGCCAAGGTCACCTGGCTGGCAGGAACGGACCTCGCCTTCTCCCGCTTGCTGGCTGGTGCCTCGGCCTCCAGCCCTCCCTGGCTCCCCATGTACAGGCAGTCCCCAACCTACAGCCTTTCGTTTAGCGACTGTTCAAAGTTACGATGGCACTGAAAAAAGTGACTTGGGACCATTTTCCACACTTGCGACCATTGCAGCCTCCCCGCAGGCACGCAAGCCAAAATGCCTGGCATTTTGTGTTCGTATTTACGACGGTCGCAGTGTCCCGGGGGGGGGGGAGGAGATCACGTGACCCCCTTTTGCCACCTTCTGACCAGCAAAGTCAATGGGGAAGCCGGATTCACTTAACGACCGCGTGACTAATTTAACCACTGCGGTGATTCACTGAGCAACTGCGGCAATAAAAGTCGTAAAATGGGGCAATTTAAATAAGTGTCTCATTTAGCAACATAAAACTTCTGGGCTGCATTGTGGTCGTAGGTCGAGGACTTCCTGTACACATTTACTGACAACTCTTGGTGGGATGCTCGGAGACCCCCCCCTCCTTTGCAACACCCCCCACCCGAAATCGTCCCTCCGCCAGCGGGGGGAGGGGGGACCCAGGCGGCGCTTCCCCGCAATATGAAGCTTGCAGACCCGGGTTAGCCCCTCCCCACGTGCGTGCTCCGCGCCGGGCGGGGGGGGGGGTCCGGCTGGATGACCTCCAGGGTTCCCCGCGCCCCGCAGGCAGAAGGAGCCCCGAAGCCCTTTAGGTCAGGCGGCGGCCCCCGGCCCGGCCCGCCCGAGCGCGACCCACCGGGAGGAGAGGCAGCGCCGCGGGGGCAGTAGCTCCGGCCTCGCCCCGAGGGCCGTCCAGGCCGGGCTCCGCAGGCCCCAGCGCAGGCAGGAGAAGGAGGAGGCGGAAGAGGAGGAGGAGGCCCGCGCCCGGCCCAGCGCCGCCCAGCACCGGCTCCGCGCCGCCGCCGCCGCCGCCGCCATTCCGGGCCCGAGCCAAGAGGCGTCGCTCAGGGCCCGCCGCGGCCCAGAATGCCCCGCGCGGCCCTTCCGCGCAACGATTTGGCCCCTCGCGCGCGCCGTAGGAGGGAGGAGGGGGAGGAGAAAGTAGACTCTAGAAGAGCGCACTAAGCGACCGAGAGGCAACTTCCGGGTCCGCATCTCAAGAAAGCTGGCGATCCGGGCCGCGCTCGTGTCTTCCGAGCAGGCTTCTTGCGAGAATCCCCCCGCGCCTGATGGGGGCACGTCAAGGAGGAGACCTCAATGAGGCCCCACAAAGGAGCTGCTGAGCAAGGATGCCGGTGGATGCCTCTGAGCGAGGCCCAGAGCGCTGCCTGCGGACACCTCCAGAGGGCGCTGGACCGGAAAGGGAGAGGATGCGGCTAGAAGGGACCCGGAAGCTGCCTCCGGGTGATGATGAAGCGTCCCCCCGGCAACGCCGCCTCCCCGGCCGGAAGTGCTGCCGGTCATGTGACGCTCTGTCAAAATGGCGTCGTCTGTCAAGGCCGGGCCGCCGCTGCGCCGCTTCCTGTCGAGCCCCGCGGCGGGCCGCCTCCCCGAAGCGCTGCGGGCGGAGCTGGCGGCGGCCCTGGCCGAGGGCGGCCTGCCCTTCGCGCTGCTCCGGAAGCTCCAGCGGGCCCTGCGGGAGGCCGGTGAGTCTCTCCCTCCGCCCCGGGTTGCTTCGGCTCCCGCCGCCGCCTTCAGCCGGGCCCGGCCTCGCGGGTGAGCCCGCAGCGGGCCTGGCCCCGGGAGGCAGCCGGGGCCGGAGCGTCTCGGGCTGGACGTCCCCGCGGTTCTCTGCAGGGTCGAGGCGCGTTCAGAGGGCAGCACTGCGTCCCCCTGGCCCCGTAATACGGCTAGTCCCCGACTTACGACCGCAGCTGAGATCTCGGTTGCTAAGCGAAACAGTTCAGTGACTCTTGCCCCATTTTACGACCTTCCTGGTCACGGTTGTTAAGTGAATCCCTGCGGTCATTATGTTAGTAATACGCTTGTTAAGTGCATCCGACAACCCCATCGACTTTAATGGACATATTTTTAATGGAAACATTGGCCTTTTCTTTTTCTTGCTCTCAGGTTCCCCGGTATATCTTCACGAACTGTTGGAAGGCAGTGAAATCTTTCTCCCTGATGTGACGAAACCACCCAGGGTACGTATCGGGCATCACAGGCAGTCCTCGGCTTACAACAGTACGTTTAGTGACCATTCAAAGTTACCACAACTCTGAAAAAGTGATTTAAGAGCGTTTTTCATCCTTATAACCATTGCAACATCCCCATGGTCACAGGATCAAAATCCAGGCTCACATTTACGACGATCGCAGCGTCTGGGGGACACGTGATCCCCTTTTGCAGCCTTCTGACCAGCAAAGTCAATGGGGAAGCCAGATTCACTTAACAACCGTGTTCCTAATTTAACAACTGCAGGGATTCACTTAACAACCGGACCAAGAAAGGTCATAAAACGGGGCAAAATTCATTTAAATGGTTCACTTAGCTACAGAAATTTTGGGTTCAATTGTGGTTGTGAGTTGAGGAATGCTTGTATTTATTGTTTCTTAATTTCCAAAGTGATAAAAAATAACCAGGCTCATCATGAGTAGGGGGGGGGCAACACAGGACCCCAGGACAATGTGAGTTTCTTTGCGGTTCCTGCGCCTTTAGGCTACAGTACACAAAGCTTCACAGTAAGGTTTCCCCTATTTTAACCTTAAAACAAGCTGAGCATAGTATAAAACTCAGCAGACGACTGTGTGATCTGAGGCACCATCTCCCTCCAGTGGGATTGGCTTACCTCATTCACACCTGCAGACGAGGCCTTTTCCAGATCCCATTGGCCAAGGAATTTTGGCTACCTGGATCAGGGAGAAGAAGAGCCTTCTCTGCTGCAGCCCCCTCCCTCTGGAACATCTGGACTTCTGCGGTGAGACCCGCCTCCACCCTGATTCTGCTGGTTGGCTTGGGCCCCCAGTGGGGGCGCATTACCCTGGATGTGATGATAATAATAATAATAATGATGATGATGATGATGATGATGATGATGATGATGATGATGATGTTGGAAGGGACCTTGGAGGTCATCGAGTCCAACCCCCTGCTCAGGCAGGAAACTCTATACCATTTCGGACAAATGGCTGTCCAGTCTCTTCTTAAAAACTTCCAGTGTTGGAGCATTCACCGCTTCTGGAGGCAGGTGGTTCCACTGGTTAATTGTTCTCACTGTCAGGAAGTTTCTCCTTAGTTCTAGGTTGCTTCTCTCCTTGGTGAGTTTCCACCCGTTGCTTCTTGTCCTGCCTTCAGGTGCTTTGGAGAATAGCTTGACTTCCTCTTGTTTGGGGCAGCTCCTGAGATACTGGAAGGCTGCTATCCTGTCCCCCCTCGTCCTTCTCTTCATTAAACTAGACATACCCAATTCCAGCAACTGTTCCATATATGTTTTAGCCTCCGGTCCCCTAATCCTCTTTGTTGCTCTTCTCTGTACTCTTTCCAGAGTCTCAACATCTTTTTTACATCGTGGTGACTGAATGAGAGACAGATGTCCACCCCTGTAGCCTCTGTGCTCTTGACTTAGCCATTTATCTATTTAATGCTTGTTAGTGAGCGAGGCGGTGGCCTAGAGGTGGAGCTCTCGCCTCATAGTCGGGAGGCTGTGAGTTCGATCTTAGGTAGCGGCATTTCTCTCCCTATCCCTTGATATTTATTTCTCTCTGGGCACAATGAGCAGTTATTGGCTGCGAGCTCCACGTAGGCATTAGGAAGGCCATCTGGCCAGTAAACACTTTAGCTCCATTCAGTTTCATTACAGGGTATTAAAAAGAAGGAAAAAACACTTAATTTTAATGCTTTTAATGCCTATACATCTCTGTTTTACGCCATTGGAAGCCGCCCAGAATCACTCGAGACAAAGAGATTGGTGGCATATAAAATAAATAAATAAACTTCCTCCAGGATCTGGGAGGCAAAACACAGAACGTGCAGGGGCTCCTTTTTTTCCCTTCACACACCCCCCCCAGCTCCGAGCCCTCCCCACGCAGGTCACTTTTCATCATAGAACCATAGAGTTGGAAGGGACAGAGAGTTCCTGATCAATGACCTTGAAGCCTCCGTTGAAGGAGAACCACTTTGACTGGCAGGCCCTCCGCAGTTCGGCGGTTCCTCCTGATGTCTCGGCTGAATTTTTTTCCTTGCAGCTTCTCCCCCGGGGTCTCGTCCTGCCCTCTGGAACAGCAGAGAATGAGCCCACCCACCCCCTTTTATATGACCAGCCCTCTGATAGTTGAACACTGTTACCGAGTCTCCCACCCGTCTTCCCTTCCCAGATCATTTAATTGTTCCTCCGGTGAACCAGGCCCTGGTTTTCTTACCATGTTGATCGTATTCCCCTTTTCTCTGAATTTGCTCCCATTTGTTACTGGCCTTTTTGAACTGGGGTACCAAGAATTGAACTGGTTAGAACAATTAACCAGTGGAACAGCTTGCCTCCAGAAGTTGGAGGTTTTTAAGAAGAGACTGGACAGCCACCTGTCTGGAATGGTGGAGGGTAACAGTGTGCAAACTTGGGAACTTTAAGACTTGTGGACAGCTGGCTGGGGAATTCTGGGAGTTGAAGTCCACAAGTCTTAAAACTCCAAGGATGGACACTGTTACTGTAGGGTCTCCTGCTTGAGGAGAGGGTTGGACTAGAAGACCTCCAAGCTCCCTTGCAGCTCTGTTTTTCTGTTAACTGAGATCTGACCAGGACAGAATAGACCGGGACAGTTTTTGTTAAATGTGTCTTCATTTCTGCAGTTGGTTTGTGTTGGTTTTTCTGTTTCAGAACCCAGAATTGGTAGCCAGGCTGGAGAAGATCAAAGCCAAGTTGGCAAATGAGGAATACAAGCAGATGACAAGGAACATCAACAGCCAGGTCAGGGTGACGTGCAGAGCTACTTAGGCTATTTAATTATCTATTAGATTTTTCTCCCATCTTTATTGGTTTATAAGTAACTCAAGGCACCAAACCCGAAAGCCAACTGGACTTTCTTGCGTTTTTTTTTTCCCTTGAAAACATTTCACTTCTCATCCAAGAAGCTTCTTCAGTTCAAGGGGAAAAAACCACGAAGATCCAGTTGCCTTTTGGAAAAAGGACTTTGGGGGCAACCGGGATCTGGAGAATGATGGAGAATCTCCGCAGACCTCAAGGCAGCAAATATAGCTTTGTAAGCCACCCGGAGTCACCTCATTGATGATAATGGATGGCATATAAATTTAATCGTGTTGTTGTTAGTTGCGAAGTCGTGTCCGACCCGTCAGGACCCCATGGACAGCGTTCCTCCAGGCCTTCCTGTTCTACATCATCTTCTGGAGTCCATTTAAGCTCACGCCTGCTGCTTCAGTGACTCCATCCAGCCCCCTCCTTCTCTGTCGTCCCCTTCTTCTGTTGCCCTCCATCTTTCCCAGCATCAGGCTCTTCTCCAGGGAGTCCTTCCTTCTCCTTAGGGGGCCAAAGTACCTGAGTTTCAACTTCAGGATCTGGCCTTCTAAAGAGCAGTCAGGGTTGATCTCCTCTAGGACTGACCGATTGGATCCCCTTGCAGTCCAGGGGACTCGCAGGAGTCTTCTCCAGCACCAGAGTTCAAAGGCCTCCATTCTTTGGCCTTTCTCAGCCTTTCTTATGGTCCAACTTTCACAGCCATACATTGCAACTGGGAAAACCATGGCCTTGACTACACGCACTTTTGTTGGCAGGGTGACGTCTCTGCTTTTCAGTATGCTGTCTAGATTTGCCATACATATGTAGAAATACATAATACTCCTATTTCCCCCACAAAAACAACCCTGTAGGATGGGCTAAGAGACAGAGACATAAAGCTATGCCCATATAATTGGTCCAGAGCACCAGTGTGATTTCCCTGAGCCCTGTGCAGACCCTGAGGTCATCCGTGTTTGAGCAACACCGATGGAAGAGAATCTTTGTAGCTCAGGGTGGACCTGCAGGCTTTCTTGGTGCTCTGTGACCCTGGTGGTTTTCTTTCAGACGTTTCATGATCCAAACTAGGTAAAATCACTAGGAGGGAGGGGGGGAAGAAGGAAGGAAGGAAAGAGAGAGAGACAGGGGAAGGAAGGAAGGAAGAAAGAAAGAAAGGAGAAAAGAGTAGGAAAGAAGGAAGGAAGGAAAGAAAGAAAACAGGAAGGGAAGGAAGGAAGGAAGAAAAAAGGAAGGAAGAAAAAGAAGAAAAAAAGGAAGGGAAGGAAGAAAAAAGGAAGGAAGGAAGGAAGGAAGGAAGGAAGGAAGAAAGAAAGAAAGAAAGAAAGAAAGAAAGAAAGAAAGAAAGAAAGAAAGAAAGAAAGAAAGAAAGAAAGAAAGAAAGAAGGACTGTGGGGTCCTTGGTGCTCCCTGAGCTTGATGAGTTTTCTTGCAGACGTTTCACGACCCAACTAGGTCACATCATCAGTGCTAGGAGGGAGAGGAGGACTGTGGGGCCTTGGGGTCCTCTTGAGGGGTTTTCTGGCAGGTGTTTCCTGATCCAAGGAGGTGGGGTCGTCAGTGGCAGAAGGGAGGGGGGGTTGCAGAGAGGAGGAGGGGGGGAGGACTGTAGGTGTCCTTGTTGCTCTCTGAGCGAGTTGATTTTCTTGCAGACGTTTCACTACCCAACTAGGTAATATCATCAGTGCATGCAGTGGCCCCACAAACACACGGCAGCCCCTCGTCAAGGGCTGCAGGAGGAGGAAGAGGCCTAAGATGGAGGGGGGGGGGACGGCCAGCCCACGGGGGCCCTAATCAAGCACAGCAGCCGAGGCTTCTTTGCCTGTCCAGTCTGTCTGCCGAGATGCAGAGAGAAGGGAGTCAGGGAGGCCCTTTCTCCACTCAGCGGGGACAGGACCGGCCTTGGCCATCCCAGGCTGCTTGAGGGGCTGCTGGGGTCACGGAAGGGCCGGGGCCAGTGGCCGGGCCCCCACTCTGGGTGCAGGAAGGCCCCTCGGGCCCCAGGATTCCCCCGCACTCATTGCCAGAGAGGGTCCTTCCGAATGCCTGGAGCCACCGATCCCCCACGGCTGAGCCCGGCCTATGCAGCCCAGGGCCCTTGGGGAGGATGGGCTCTGGACAGGCCAGCGGCCTCACTCAGGCTGAGCCCAGCTGGTCCTTGGCCAGCTGATGGGGGAAGGGGCACTGGGCCAAGAAGTGACCGGGCTCTTCTTCCCCTTCCAAGGAGCTGAACCACCCGGGCACCCTGGCTGATTTCGGCAGGCAAGGTGAGTGGAGGCAGACCGTTGGGCGGCAGGGGGTGTGTGTCTGTCTCTCCCCAGGGGAGGTGGGCTCTCCCCTCCCCAGGGGCCAATGACATCCTTTGGTGAACTAAACCTGGCCCCGACCCTCCCGACCTCCTGGAAGAGCTTAAAGACCCGGCTCTGCCCCCTGGGCTGGGGCTCCAGTGGGGGGGGGCTTCAGATTGGGGGTGGTGGAGGATAGATTAACAATCTCACCCCCTGCCCTTCCTTTAATCGGGGTGCAGGATTCGGAGCTTCACAGTGTTGTGTTTGCGTCTTTCGGGTTTTGTGTAGCTTTTAAGATTGTAGGACGCCCAGAGTTGACCTGTGATAAGATCGTGGCCAACACATTTTGTAAATCAATAACCCCCCCCAGAACATTTAGGACCCCTTTGGCAATTTTGAGGGGGGTTCGGGGAGCCCCCCTTGGTGAGTCAATCCCCAACGAGGCGCATTTCAGGATGAAGACTCAGGGCGTCAGTGGGGATCAAAAGTGTGCAGCCTGATCCGTGGCGGGAATCTGCGGCTGTCCCGTGTGTTGCTGAACTGTAGGTCCCATCATCCTTTGCGCAGGGGAGGGATGCTGGGAGTTGTAGTTCAGCATTCTTTGGAGGGTGCCCCCCCCCGCAGGTGTTCCACTCCTTGTCTTCCCCCCTGAAACAGGGTAAGGCTCTTCCGGTTCCCAGTTGCCCGCTGGCGGGTCCTCCGGTAGTCGACCCCTCGTAGGTGGGGGCCTGGCGCCGGAGGGAAGCGGCTCTCCTTTTTGGGGACCCCGTTCCTCACCTCTCCTTTCCCAGCCAGGTCAGCCAAAGCGGTGACCGTCACCGTCATCAACTTCCTGGTCACTGTGGGGGCCACCTTTGCCTGCGCCTTCCTGGGCAGCCATTACATCTTCAACGAAACAGCGGCGGTGAGTAACGTCTGGCTGGCCGGCCCACCGGAGGGGACACCGGAACCCCTTTGGGGGAGGGCAGCTTGTGGGGGGCCCCACTGAGCTAGAGGGGCCGGCAGGAAGGTCTTGCACACTCCCTTCCCCTAAAGTCCTCGACTTACGACCACAATTGAGCCGAAAACGTTAACGTTGCTCAGCAGTTGTTCTTTGAGCTTTGCCCCCATTTTACGACCGTTGTTAAGGGAATCCCCTGCGGTTGTTAAGTTGGTCACACGGTTGTGAAATGAAGCCAGCTTCCCCATTGGCTTTGTTCGTCAGAAGGTAGAAAAAGGGGATGACCTGGGGTCACTGCTGGGTCACTGTGGCCATCCTAAGTACAGGCCAGTGGCCAGGCCTCTGGATTTTGACCACGGGGACGCTGCAGCGGTCGTACGTGTGAAAAAAACGGTCCTAAGTCCCTTTTTTCATTGTCCTTGTAACTTCAAACAATCAGTAAATGATGTAAGCCGAGGACTGCCCGTATTTGATCAACACAGCCATGGTTGACTACCCCTGGTTTACTCCATTAACCCAGTTTCTTGGGCTCCCTCATCAGCTGGGTGGGGACAAGAGGGCCGAGGCGGGAGGCTGGTTTACGGCTCCTTGTGGGGGGGGCACTGTGCCTTTTGCCACCACAAGGGGGGGGAACCTCCCGGCAGGGGCTGCGAGAGGCAGAACTGACCCCCCTTTCCTCCTCCTCCTTCCAGAGGGTGATTGCGGCCGTTATCGCAGCCTCCGTGGTGGGCCTGGCGGAGCTGTACGTGATGGTGCGGACCATGGAGGGGGAGCTGGGGCAGCTGTAGCCAGGGGGGGGGGCGGGCTCTCAGAGGGCCCTGCAGCCTGTTCCCATGGCTCCTCCCTGTGATCCCCATCCCAGGGAGGTGCGTCCAGACCCCCGGCCTCCCACAGATCCCACGGGCCACTCGGGAGGGAGGGAGGGAGGACCCTCCCACCCCCCAGCATGACAGAGACATGGCACTGCCTCCCCCAGCCTGCCATCTGTACCTAGGGGTCTCCTCCCCGGGGGGGGGAGCATCGCCGCCACGTGGGGGTTTCTGGTGCCGAAGCTGGGGGGGGTAGAGAAGCCGCTGGTCCCATTGATCGTGAGAGATTTTTTTTGGGGGGGGGCAAGAGCCTGGCCTGCCAGCTGGGCAGGGTCTCCCCGCCCCTTTGTGCTCCAGCTACCCAATTCTGGTGTCCTGTGATGATGGTGGAACTTCCGTTGTGTGTGCAATAAAAAGTAACTCACAAAACTGTTGTGTCGGCCTCTGCAGTAAAGCTCCTCTGAGCCAGGGGTCTCCCACCTGTGGGCCGGCCCTGGTCTGCGGCGTGCCAGAAACCGGTCTGTGCAAACAAGTGAAGCCCCCCCCCCCTCCGTGGGATGCAGGCAGCATGGAGACCAGGCCCCCTTCCGGGCCGTGGGAAAACCTCTCTCGCCACGAAACCGGTCCCTGGTGCCCACAAGGTTGGGGGCTGCGGCTGTGAGTGTCCTTCGTGCCAGAAGGGAGGGGGCTCTGCTCCCCATTGATACCCAGGGGCTTCCCCATCGTGGTTGCTGGGTGAGGGGCTCCTTGATCAGGCAAGGCACTGCCCCCCAGCGGCTGCCTGGGAACAGCTGAGGGGCACCCCACCCCCTTCTTGCACTTCCTCCCAGCTCCACCTGGTGGGTAGTGGTCCTGTGGCCCTCTGCCTGGGGCAAAGGGGGGGCAGCACACTGAGCAGGACCCCCGCCTTCTTCCAGCTCTCCGCCGGACCCATCTGGCTGGCAATCACTGCTTTGCCTCTGCCCCTCCAGCTCACTTGTTCTGCAGAAGCAAAGTGCACCCCCCCCCAACACACACACACATGCAGGTGGTTTTGCCCATGTCCAGACGGGGGGAGGGTTAGCATATTAATTAATTTTAATCTCGCCTTTATTACTGTGTAAGTAACTCAAGGCAGTGAACATCTCCCTCCCTCCTCCTGTTTTCTCCACAACCACCCTGTGAGGTGGGCTGAGCAGAGAAAAAGGATCTGGCCTAAAGTTGATGGAATTGGGGATGTCTAGTTTAAGGAAGAGAAGGACGAGGGGGGACATGATAGCAGCCTTCCAGTATCTCAGGGGCTGCCCCAGAGAAGAGGGAGTCAAGCTATTCTCCAAAGCCCCTGAAGGCAGGATGAGAAGCAACTGATGGAAACTAATCAAGGAGAGAAGCAACCTGGAACTAAGGAGAAACTTCCTGACAGTGAGAACAATTAACCAGTGGAACAACTTGCCACCAGAAGCGGTGAATGCTCCAACACTGGAAGTTTTTAAGAAGTGACTGGACAGCCATTTGTCTGAAATGGTATAGGGTTTTCTGCCTGAGTAGGGGGTTGGACTAGATGACCTCCAAGGTCCCTTCCAACTTTATCATGATTATTATTATTATTAAAGTCACCCAGCTGCCGTCTTTCCCTCTCCGGACACACATAAAAACCCTGGACGGTCTCAGAGGTTCTGCATAACCCCTGGCAACTCACAGAGGAGGGGGCTGGGGTGGTGGTGGGGGTTTAAGGCTACTCCCTTCACAGGCCCACCCTCCAAGCGCAGTAGGCCTGCGGACCCCCCTGTTCGGAAGGCATGCTATTCTCCCCAAAGCCCCCCCCTGCCCATTGCTGAAAGGCCCCCACCCACCCAAGGAGACCGAGGCGGACAGGATGGTTGGGGGAGCCTTTATTTGGTTGGTCAGCGGGTCCTGAGGGCTCCATGGCCGAGCTCAGAGCCGGTCCTCCGAGGGGGGGCAGCCCAGCCAGTATTTGGCGATGGGGCGAGGGTACCGGGGATACACCCAGTCCACCTTCCGCGTGTGCAGGTTGACCCGGTAGTACTTGTCTGGAAGAGAAAGGTCATCGGTGGTCAGCCTCAAGAGCCCCAGCCCTTCCCCAGCACCCCTTTCCCCCCACCCCTCAGTTTAAACCAGGGGTAGTCAACCTTGGCTCTTTTATGACTCGTGGACTTCAACTCCCAGAATTCCTGAGCCAGCTGTGCTGGCTCAGGAATTCTGGGAGTTGAAGTCCACGAGTCATAAAAGAGCCAAGGTTGACTACCCCTGGTTTAAATTGTGGGGAGGGGATTATGGCAACTTTACGACCTGTGGACTTCAGCTCCCAGCATTCCTGAGCCGGCTTCCCAGGCTGCCACGTGGCTCGGGAATTCTGGGAATTGAAGTCCACAGGGGGTAAAGTTGCCACCGTTGCCCAGCCCTGCGAGGCGGGCCATAGGGGAGCCAATATAAGGATGTGGGGAGACGGCCGCCTAGACGCCCACCCCAGTCCCGCCGGCACACCTGTCGCAATGCAGGTGAGAGGAATGGGACTTGTAGTCCACCGTCTCTGCCACGGGGCGGCTTCGGGACAACTGCCGATCCCCCCCCCCGCCGGCCTCTCGTGGCTGCCGTGGCCGCGAGTTCCGTAGGGGAGCTGGGAGAGGGGGCGGCGGGGGGCCGGACTCACCGTCCACGAAGAAGTAGGCGCTCTGCGAGGGCTGGCAGGGGGAGACCAGCCAGTCCCGGTCCGACGACTCCGAGCTGGTCCCGTCCGGCGACTCCCAGAAGGAGGAGGCGAACGGCGACGACGAGCCCCGGCGGCCCCAGCGCTGCTGCCGGCGCGGGTACTTCTTGCGGTAGCGGCGGCGGGAGGCCCTGCGGGAGACCCGGCTGCGGCCGGCGCCCGTCCCGGAGGGGCTCCGGGCCACGTAGAGCCTGCCCAGCAGGGCCGCGCTCAGCCGGGAGGGCAGCCCGCGCCAGTCACGGCTGGTCAAGCTAGGCCGGCTGGCCTCACCTGCGGGGGGGAGGGGGGGAGAGGGGGGGCGGTGAGCGGCGGCGCCGGAGGGGGGNCGGGCACCTTTGAAGAAGTAGACGCGCTCGCCGGCCATGAAGTTCTGGGCGGGCAGGGCGAGGGCGGCGTCCAGGTGGTCGGGCACGCCGGCGAAGCCCTCGGAGATGTTGCGGGGGAAGTCGGGCTCCAGGCGGCCCTCGTGGAAGCGCCAGTAGAGGCTGCCCTGCGGGGAGGGGGGGACGGAAGGCGGCGGGCGGGATGAGCGAGGGGGGCCCCGGGGATGGAGAGCCCGGCCGGGCGGGGTCAGGCGCCCGCAGCCCCCTCGGCCCGGGCCTCCCGCCTCTCCCCCTCCGGCGGGGACCCTGCAGGCTGGCCTCGCCGCCCCCCCGCCCCTCGCTCCCTCCCTCCCTACCTGGAAGAGGTAGGTCTTGCCCTGGCAGTTGACGCGCGTGAAGGCGGCGTCGATGGGGCCGTCGATGCCCCAGACCTCCCGGATCAGCTTCGGGTAGCCCGGCCGGGCGCTCTTCTCGTCCAGCTCGTACAGGTACTGGCCTGCGCCGGAGGGACCGCGGGTGAGGAGGCGGCGGCGTTTGGGACCCCCCCCCAGCCCGCCCTCCCCCGGGAGGCCCGACAGGTGGCGGGAGGGGCCTTTCATACCGAGTCAGGCCGGCACTGATTAGCCGCCCCCACCCCGGACCCTCTCCCGCCAGCGGCTCCTGCTCGGGGCGACGGCCCCACCCTGGAGGGATTCCGGAGCCCTCCGTGCCTCTCCTGACTCCGCAGAAGAGCCCCCCCCCCGCGTTGGAGCTGAGTGGGGAGCAGTGAAGGGCAAGGCTTAAGGGGGGGTTGCCTCCCCCCCTTGGCATGAGGACGGGACCTAGTGGCTTTGGCAACCCCTCTCCTTCCAGCGGGCAGGGGGGGGCAACAATGCAGACAGTGTTTCCCCCCCCTCCAACAGGGGGCTCCCACTCTCCCTTCCAAGAGACTCAGGTTCTGGAGGGGGAGGGGGAAGAGCAAAGGCCGGGCAAGGGGAGCCAGCGGGGGGGGGGGGGAGCTTGGGTGTGGCCCCTCCAGCTGGGCTACCTCGGAAAGCGAAGATGGAGCCGTTCTTCAGGCTGGTGAAGGCGTCAAAGGGCTTCCCA